CCTCCGACTGTCTCGAACCGTAAGAAGAGGAAGGAATTATCCGATAGAGGCAAGGGCATAGCAGTCACGACCAAGAAAAAGACCACGACCAAGAAGAAGTCTGGAGAGGGTTCTTCGTCAACGAATCCGGTGCCGGCTCTACCTTCGACTGTAGAAGTTGGTGATTCGAGCAACGAACCGGTCCGAGGTCCCGAGATACCGGAATTGTACACAAAATTTGATAAGCACATTGCTTATCATATTGTGAACGGAGGGCCAGATCGCTCGGAGCGCAGCTCAGAATTTCGAATTCGAAATCACACAGGAACTTTGAAAGGTTGGGAGCCGGCGCCGTTTATTACAGAGAGTACAAAGATGTGGATTAATGTCAGTTGTACAAGCATCGTACAACACTGTGGACGGCCATCTACTTAGAGCCTTCATAGAGAGATGGCAGCCCGCTACCAACACATTTCACTTACCTGTTGGAGAGATGACCATCACACTTGACGATGTGAGTACGTTGGTCGGTTTGCCAGTTGTTGGGCGTACCGTATCTTGCGAGCGTTTGATCCGTGATTCCAAAACGAAGCCCAGTAGTTTGATGTTCGAGTTGCTAGGTGAGTACCCGGACGATGTAAACAAGAAGAAATCGGTGAAGTTGGAATGGTTGAAGGCTAAATTTAGCAAAGTGACCATGAGAGATAGTGCGGAGAAGAGGACATACGCCATTCGGGCGTATTTGTTATTTTTGCTCGGGTGTACTATACTGTGCGACAAGACAGGCAACATGGTAAGCGTGGAGTATCTAAATCTTGTATCTGATTTGGATCGGATCGGCGAGTATGCTTGGGGCACTGCATGTCTTTGCCGGTTGTACGATGAGATTTCCTCAGCCTCACAAAAATCAACGAACTCGATGGCTGGCTGGCTGACGCTCTTTCAGTCATGGATTTACGAGCACTTTCCTTATTTGGCGGGTGGCACATTGAAGACGGAATTCGAGGGGCCATTAGCGAGCCGATGGGAGCCTCAGTCAAAGACTACTTCAACGCCTGAACGAGCGTCGTACCTGCGATCTCGATTAGATGATTTGATCCCCGATCAGGTAAAATACCAGTTTAATAATTTGTTATTACTACTTAAGTAGGTTTTTAAATCTTATTTTTTATTTATTTTACTAGGTTTTATGGTCACCGTATACGGCTATTCGTGATCGTTTCCCGATGCCAGATTCTGCTTGGTTTAGTGGGATGATATGTTGCATGGACCACTTCGAGGCATATCATCCGGACAGAGTGTTGAGGCAGTTCAACCGGGTGCAAATCATTCCAGGTCGTGCATACATGTCAAAAGATATGTACAAAGCTCTAGTTAGCAAAGGTCGACCGGTCCAGAACTCAATTGTCGTTGCGTACGGCGAACGATTCTCTGATCGGTGGGAGGAGTATTGTCTGGACGAGGAGTCGATGTCCGTTGAAGTTGAACTTGGGGAGGCGGACACTTCGCCGGACTACATGAATTGGTTCCGACCCAGATGCATGTTACAACTGAGTAGGCATGGAGCCCATCCACCTCGACCCCAGGCGGATCGACCCCGACCACATGAAGCTCGTCCAGGGGGTGGTACCGATAAGGAGGTCCAACTTTCACAAATTTTGGAGTTGGTGAAGGGTACACTTAGCGAGGTGCGGGGACTTGCGCCATCCGACGCTCATACGGTCATGTGGGGGACCCTAAATGATATTGTCAGATTGATCGAGCCGGATGCCCCACTTCCACCTCCTTCGAGCTCGTCGGATGCCCCACCACCACCTCCAGGTAGCTCGATAGGGCCAATTCCACCGCCATCGAGCTCGTCCGATGCCCCACAGGCGGTTGTGAAACGCGTGTTTAGTAGGAAGAAAAAAACACAGGATTAGTCTTGTATTTTTTTAGATGGATGTTGTTTGATGGATTTTATTTGATTTACTTGTTTTTTAATTTAGTTTTATATGGATTTTGGTTGTTTTAAATGAAAATATTTTTGATAATTTTCAATTTTTTTTTTTTTTGACCAAAAACACTTAGAATATGTTTTTTATTCGTCTAGTTGAATTATGCACATTCCAGTTGAATTATGCACATCCCTTTTCATTCGTCCGTGTGCCCCCTCCACCCTATTAGAAGTGTACGTTCCAAAATGAGTACACTTATTTGTCCACACCGATACAAGTCTCTCCTTGTACGGATCCAACCATAAATTAGCTACATATTCTATAGCCGGGAGATAACCGATAAATGTTCTTTTCAAATCCTCCCAATCCTCATTGAACTCCTCTATGGTATTTCTTTCAATAAGAGCCGAAAAACTCGACTGAAATTGCTTCCATTTGGTGATGTCCTTTGGGAACAATTTCTTACAATTGGCCACTATATTCTTGTTCACATGCTACCGACACAGCAAGTGATGACTCAATGGATACACATTGGCCACTGCTTTCATTAAACCCAAATCTCGATCTGTTACAATGCAATTAGGCCGAGGACAACTGGTCATGGCCTCCTTCAAACAACGCAACGCCCATTCAAAATTTTCCGTCTTTTCGTGGTCCAAGTATGCAAAGGCAATTGAGAACGTCTTGTTGGTACAAGTAAAACCCACAATCTCAAGAAATGGGAGTCCGTAACGATTGGTCTTGTACGTGCAATCGATGACGAATACGTACGGATACGACTGTGCCAACTTAATGCATTTCGGGTGGATCCAAAACAAGTCGGTAATCACATTCAACTCGTTCGATCTATGGTACGAGAGGTATTCATCTTCTTTCAACTTGACGAACAATGATTGCAATTGAGATCTCCCATCCAATTCACTGAAATTTAACTTAGAGATAGTATTGTAAACTGTCTTCATACCAGTTACATTAGACGGGTCCTTTTGCTTCAATGCTCTTAGAATTGCCCTTGGTTTCACCATTGCTTTCTTCATAGTGTGAACAAAGGAAACATCCTCCTTTGATAATCTTCCAGCATATGAGTGTCCGTGCAAGTTTTCGAATAAGTTGTGGTTGTGAATACCACTATGAACATCCAATTTCCACTCAGCCTTTTCATCATCCTTGTGTTCTCTTGTCCCCTTCAATTTAAACGGACAATTGCATTTCTTTGAACCGGTGCTCCTTTTTCCCGGTCTTTGATCATCTTCACCTGGTACCTTCTTGCCAACATAATGGCCCCCACGCTGACAACGAACAATCACATACGGTGTCCTACGTCCTCTATCCCCGTCACTCGAACCCGCAATCATTAACACCATTCCAATTCTTTTACATACTTCACGAACCCATGCCAATAAAGCTTCCTTTGTTGGGAATTTTTCTGACGTGGTAAATGAATGGGTGCAATCGATCTACACAAAAGTGTCGAAAATATAAGACAAGTAAATTTGCAACAGGAACCAAATCGACACTTAAGTGTCGAAAATTACCCATATTTTCGACACTTAAGAGTCGAAAATAGAGGTCACTTTCGACACCTAAGTGTCGAATTATGATACAATTTTCGACACCTTAGTGTCGAAAATATGGGTAATTTTCGACACTGAAGTGTCGAAAATTGTATCATAATTCGACACTTAGGCGTCGAAACTTAAGGGTATTTTCGACACATACACGTCGAAAAATAAGGGTATTGTCGACCTGTATGTGTCGAAAATACATGGCGAGTTTTAAAAAAGAAAAAAATTCAAAATCGATGTTTTAGCTCAAAAAATACATGAATACATACCTGAATGGGTTCTCCTTGCTCGTAAACTACCATTCTATTGTCATTTGACGCCATTTTGCAAGTTGTGTAAGGTTTTGATTTCTTTTGTTTTGGGGTTTTTTAGGAGGGTTTTTGGGGAGGGAGAAGAAGGAGGTGGAGGAGGTGAGGGGTTTGTGAGTGAGGAGGGAAATGTTTTTTTTAGGTTTTTGATTATTTGGTATTTAAGAAAGAAAAATAGTATTTGTTGTTATGAATTCTTAAGTGTGGATGACCACCATTACTACCATCATCAAGCACCATTACAAGCACCATTACTCCCACCACTACTCCCACCATTTACTCACCATTATATGCCCATAACTCCTTGTAACTCATGACCTTTCATGGTCTTACTTGTACTATAAATAGTGCTCCATTGTATTGAGTTGGATACACAAGAAGAAGAAGAGAAATACATATTGCATTCTCTCTATTTACTCTTTTATGTTATCTTTGTTATGTTGTCTTCTTCTTCATTTTCTAACATTTGTAATATTTTTTTAGTTTTAATTTTCATTAAGGGCATTAAAGTAATTTACAATTAATATTTATTTTTTATTTTTTTGGTATTCAAGTAAGCAAAACTTAGTATTTGAAATATAAAATAGAAGAAAAAATATATTTACATAATATTAAAAATCTAAAGAAAGAGATAATAACGAAACGATTTACATACATTCAGTTCAATGCATGTAGTGTGTAAAACAGGTACTCCTCGGGAACCAGCCCTTCTCATTTTCCGACCAACTCTACAGCTCCTCAAGGGGCAACACTGATTTACGAGTATTATTCATATTAGGAAAAAAAAAAATTAAACAACCAGGTCAATTTATGAAAAAATTCTTTTTGTTTGGATAATTACATTTGTTCCTCAATTATGATTTTTTTCTACATCTCTATTCTTATGGTATCAAATTCAACATAATCATCTAGATTTCGTGGAACGTGCTATAGTTCATACTCGTTTTGTGCAAAAATACAGTTTTTGATGCACCACAATCTGATATATACAAGCAAAAAACACATCTTATGATCATCTTGCTTCAAAATGTGGAGTTCAATAGAATAAAACGAGTACAAAAGTGATAATATTCCATATAATTTCGAACCTTCCACTATATTTGATACCGTAAGGGTGGACGTATAAAAAAATTTATAGTTGGAGATGATTGTAATTACTCAAACAAGAGGGAGAGTTTCGTAATTTAACTATACCTCAGTGGTAGTTATAATTTACTCATCATAAAGTAATTATATAATATTATTATTCTAATATACTGAACTTAGATAAACGATTAATATTTTGCCAATATAAACTTCAATCAGCAAAAAGAAAAAGAAAAAGAAAAAATAATAATAACTAGTAATATATCTTAAGGCTCTTTAAATTAATACTGTTGAATTAACAAAATTCTATCAATTTAATTGAAATATTAAATTGTCGAACTCATGGTTTAATACATTTTTTACCGAATCGATGGTGATAAAAAAAATTATTATTTAATTAAAATTATTAATTTATCGAGCTTTGTGCATGTCAATTGATATGCACGGACAAAACATGCGCATGTGTCCTAACTGTTGACACGAGGAAAATCTGATTTTGCTAGTTCCAATCTCTGAAGTCTGAATGCATTTGGCCAACAGTTATTTTACATTTAATTAAGGGTAAATTGCATCCACACGTTAAGATAATGCTAAAATAACTTTAATGTCTATGTGGTATAAATAATTATATTCACTCTCCTGAAACATAGTTAGAAACTCATGGGATAATGCATTGGATACGTTATTTAGATAGAGCTCTACCGAACTATTAGTTTCAGGAAGTGGTGAAAACAACAAAGAACTATGGGTGATTTAAGAAATGTTGGGAGAGCCATATCACCTCATAACTCTATGTTGTCTCCACCACTAGCTAAAAGTAATAGTATCTTAGAATTATATCGAAATAACGTATCCAATGCATTATCTCATTAAAATTTCTAACTATGTTTCAGGGGTGATTGTAATTATCGATACCACATGGACGACTTTAAAATTATTTTAGCATACCTCAAGGGTGTGGGTGTAATTTACCCTTTAATTAATTCATTTATTATTACCATATATATGTATTTAAAGAGTCAAATGACAAAATTTGTAATCAGAAACCACATGTCAAAGGCATTTTCTTACCCATTAAAGAGTAATTGAAAAGGAACAAATGATAGCCGGAAAAAAAGATCAATGTGGTCACCGTGGTCGTATCCAAACAAAAATTGCAATTCCCTATTAAAATAAATATTCTTGTCCATTAAGCAATCTCATTCAGTATATCAAGGCCATCCACCGCTTCTTTTTTTTTTTTTTTTTTTTTTTTTTTTTCTTCTATGGATAAATAGTATTTAAACCTATTGTGGTTAAATACTAATTTTTGTATATGAGCCACCTTAATTATGTTTAGCAATATCAGTTCATAACCCCTTGTAGTTAATAAGGGTTCGTTAGTTTTTTTTTGTTGCGCGTGCAAAAATTCAGGTGGTCATTTGTAGAGAAATGAAGGGGAAAAAATAAGCACAAGGGGATCACCTGAAAAAATGTAGTATCTTGATGGTGACACACACTGGTAATTTTAATAGAAAAAATAACGGACGCTAACCCCGTCAACGACAAGATGATTATGTGCTGATATTTCACAATAAAGTTATTTGCAAAAGCTTGTAACTAGAGAAGTTCAAGTGATATGCTATTTACCTAATTTAATAATTGAAAAAAATTACTGTTTTATTTTTGAATATTTGTACGCCTAGTATTGCCGCCTCCTATAAATATTTTACATTTTACTAATTTATACATACATACATATAGATATATTTGAGCCTCGTGAAACAAAATATAATTGAGGCACAACTAGTAATCCTATGATAGAAGGGAAAAAAACATAAAAAACAAAAAAACAAAAAAACAAAAAAACAAAAAACAAATTCAGTTCACAAGGAATGGAAGATCAAGATTGTGATGAAAATATGCCAACTGGATTGACGGCCATGATTCAAGACGACGACGACGTCGTATCTATAACTTCCGACGACCATGATGAAAAAGCAGGTGGTGGTGGTGGTGGTGGTGGTCCTTATAATATGCAAATAACTCCGGCGACGGAATTTCTTCCGTTCCAACAAATGAATCCCGGCGAATATCCATGCTCGGAAGAGATTATCTTTTATGATTTGGAAAAGGTACTCAAATCAAGTGCCACGTTTTCTACTTCTCATCATTACCTGCACGAGGAAATGCTAACTGAAGAAATTTTGATCAACGTGAGTTAATTAATTTGAAGACTTAATTAGTTAAATTATTAGATTCTCAAAATTCTAGATTTGTAATTGAAATTGATTTTGTACTTCCGAAAAAAAATAATTTATTTTCGAAAACGGGTTAATTTCGATTCGTTCTATCCGACTTTCACACCTACTAGCAGCCAATTATAAATCCTCCTCTACTAGCTAGAAAAAAAAATCCAAAACCGAATTTTCCGAATTCCATTGATTCCGATCCGAAAGTATCCGAATTTGGAACTTATTTTCCATTCCTCTTTTGGGAAAATAATGGAATTATATTGTTTATAAAATTATTGGAAATTCCAATGTTTGATTCAATTTTAGTTCCGAAACATATGGATTTATGAATTCCGATTTTTTTGGAATGAAAATTGGGACACATTTTTAGCGGAAAAAGTTATTTTCGATCCGTTCCGTGACTTCCGTCCGATTTTAGTTTTACTGAATAAAACAAATACATATGAGTTTTAGTTAATATGTTTGGATTTGTTATTTTGGTTGCAGGAAGATGAAGTAGAAGAAAATGAACCTGGTCAGACAGGTGGGGAATTATGCCAACAACAAAAGAGAAAGCGTTCTAATTATTTGCATAACCTGAATGAGAAGGTGAGTAGAGTTTCACTCGTGCAGAAAGCTAAACCCCCATTTTTTTTAATTGAATTTTAGGGTAAATTACGAAAACCCCCATAAACATAGGCTAAATAACAAAAACACACACCACCTATTCGTAATTATCAAAAAACCTCTGAGCTTTGTTTCCGTCTTAGACCAACCCTTTAAAGTGTGACTTTTCACAGAATTATTTTTTATTCTAGGGAAATAGATCACTCTGCACAATTTCAGATATTTTCTTTTATTTTTGACATATTTAACAGAAGGTATAATAGACTGCAGACATTTTCTGTTAAAAAACTTGATCAACAGTTAATTAAAGAGGAGTTTTTGGTTATTATAGGGTATTTTTTGTTATTTAGCCTAAGTTCAGCAATTTTTTTTAATTTAATACTAGTATTTATAACCGATTAATCTTATAAATAATATTGTGCATGAACAGGTGCGCAGACAAAAACTTCAGGGTAAAATGAAAGCTCTCCAACAATTGATTCCCAACTGTGACAAGGTTTTCTTTCTTCCCCTTTAATTTTTTTTAATATTTGTTTGTTATCTCTCTCTCTCTCTCTCTCTCTCTCTCTCTCTCTCTCTCTCTCTCTCTCTCTCTCTCTCATGTGATATATAATCTATTGTCCAATTGAAGAGTGGGAAAGGACATGTTCTTGATGAAGCTATCAGGTATATAAGGACCTTACAACATCAAGTTCAGGTAAATTATATTCCCTTATAATCCCTTAATCTACACATTATATATATATACCACATGTTAGTTTTTTTTTTTTTTTTTTTATATACTGAAAAATATTGATAAATTAATATTCTCAATTAAATAAAAATATCTCAAGGTCCCGATTCGGTGATAAAATGCTAAATTATTAGTTCGATAATTTAACATTTTGTTAAATTAATAGAATTTTGTTAGTCAAAATTATATTAATTTATAGATGTATATAAATTAGGGTTGTTCATGGGTCGGGTCGGTTGATTATCGGCCGATTATCGGCCCGACCCGACCAACCGACTCTTACAAATATGTAAAACCATTATCGGCCCGACTATTGTGAGTCGGGTAATGGTTGGCAACCGACTTTGTCGGTTGCCAAAACGGGTCGGTTGAAATTATCGGCCAATATCGGCCACATTAATTAAAATAAAAAATAAAAAATGAAAAAAATTATGCTATTCCTCTATCAAAATTCAACAACAAACATTCCAAATATTTCATGCCCAAAATCAATTTCAACGATATCACATGTTACAAATTAAATTTTCAAAAACAATATAAAAACTAAAACGAATCACTTTAGCCATTCACACTTTCACAACACAAAATTCTGAAACTTTTAATTTTAATTTAAGAAAATGAAGAGTATAGTTTTTTTAGTTGTGTATTTTTATTCATTTCACCGAAAGGTCAAAAATTAAATATTGAAACTAATAGTCGGTAAAAACATAAAGAGAAAATAAAAAAAAAAAAAAAAAAGTCGGTTGGTCGGGTAATATCGGCCAACCGACTTTTCAACAAATTAGAAACTATACCCGACCCAACCATGCATGGGTCGGTTAAAATTATCGGCCCGACCAAAACGGGTCGGTTGGTGGGCAATTATCGGCCAGAATAGTCGGGCAGATAATGGGTCAGTTGTCGGGTAAAACCGACCCATGAACAACCCTAATATAAATTTCCTAACACGCATTGCAATAAAATCCTAATTTTAGGAGAACGAGATGATGTCACTTATGGGATCAGGAGGCAATTTCTCTCCACTGCCGACGATGCCTCAATTACCAGCCGGAATCCAGATTCCAACCCATCCTCAATTCCCGCCAAATGACGATCCAACTGGAATTGATTACGGGTTCGGAATGGGAATGGGAATGGGAATTCCGACGAACCACTCGGGGTTACTTAATTATCCATATGCAATGGAATCACCCGTCTCGGGATTATCTGCAACATCGTCTTCATCACGTCGATTAGTACCGGAACCAGCTCATTCTTCAATTCAAAATTATCCAGGGGATTATGTAATTCCACCATGGCATGGAATCAGCTTTCCGACCTCTGTATCCCAATGTACAACTAGTCCAGCACAAGGTACAACCCCAGCTGGAGTGCTACCAAGTCAACTCCTAGACAATGTTGCTAGGGAAAGCCGGTCCAGCCACTCTGGATCGAGCGAACGGTTCGTCCTTTTTTTTTTTTTAATCTTTTCCCTCTCTCTCTCTTTTTCTTTTTATATATATAATATATATATTTGTTCATAATTTTAAGAGCATGTTTGAAATATTGAATGCAGGGACACTAGCAGTTCAATTGCAAAATTCCAAGGTTACCCCTAAAATCGGCACACTATGTAGTGGGTTGGAGAAAAATGCAAGTCCTTTTTGGGTATTTGGTTTTAGGACAAAGAGATACATGACTGTACATATATGTTTTTTGTTATTCTTTTTCTTTTATTTGTTTCCTTCAGTTTTGAAATTTGGCATAATACTTGCACTTTATGATTGTACTTATAAATGGTCTAAGAATAATATGATTCTCTGCTCGAATCATTTTAAAGTTAGAAACCGAAACCGGAACCGAAATCGAATCCTTTTAAAGCTAGAATTGATCCCATCCATTGATTTTAAGGTTTTAATATTGACTCCTCTTCTCTCCATATCGTTTCTTTCATTTCGAAACCTATATGGATCGAACTGTCACTTACAATCCGTTGATTTTTTTTAACGATCATTTCACATACAATTCAATAATAATCACAATACTTTACGCACTACAAAAAAAAATTAAAAAAATAAGCGACAACACTAATTTTCAAATAATTAGGTAACAAACGTTGTCACTATGGTTGCAACAGATAATGTATCACTAATGCTATATAGTGACAATAAAAATGGATTGTCACTTTTGGTAACAATTTTTTCTCCGTTTTTTTAAGGAGGTTCAGGTTGACCTGATAAGTGTGTTGGGTATCAGACACATGTACGCAGCGGAAAACAAAAAATTTATATGAATTAAACGAATTTAAATCATATAATCACAAAATACATATTAATTCATGAAACATACTACGAACATAGATAATTTTATCTAATTAAATTAAAAACCTAACGAATACCGGATTCGAGAATTACCTCTTGAAGCGTGAGGTTGGCGCACGAATCGAAGTAAGACTGCCATGGAAACCAATCCGTGCAGTCCGGGAGCGGGGGCGGTGCAAGCGACGGCGACGCGTGTGGATTACGCGCTGTCTTCGGGCGGCGCGTGGGAGCGCGTGTGTCGTCGGATCGGGGCTGCTCCTCGGTTCTTCGAATCTTCGATCTTCCTCCTCTCGGATTTCACCTCGTATACTTCGATCTACTAAATACGTGGCACTAGATACGCAAAAGTTAGAATAGACGGAAGAAAAGAAAAGAGAAAAGAACTACCAAGACAATAAGCCAAGTGGGGGGCCGATTCCGGCGATGAAACGACGGCGGTGGTCATGGGTGAGATCGACCGAGAGAGAGAGAGGTGTTAAGTGTATATTTTTACACTTTATCGAATCTTTTTATTTGAACTTTTGGTGTGATTTAACGATAATTGGTGCTTAAAAAGTCGATTTATGGAATTCTAGGTACAAATTGATGAATTGGAAAAGTTTGGGGTCAAAACTGCAATTTTGAAGAAAATATGGGCCAAAAGTGAAATAATCAAAAATCTGAAGGAATTGGCACGGCACGGCCGTCCCAAAGTTACACCTAAAAATGGCACGGCCGTGCCAAATGCAGAAATTGGGCAGAAGGTTTCGGTGATTCTCGCGCGGCCGTGCGAGAATTGCACTGATTTTCGCGCGGCCGTGCCAAATCACGCTGGAGACAATTTTGGACTTTTAAACACACAAGGAAACCTAGAATCTTCTACCAAGTTGGGACATCTATTTAAGCCCAAACCAAGCACGAATCAACCAGACTTTTGGACACAACCTTGGACCACAAAACGTGAGGAACGAAGATCAACGAAGACTCAAGCATAGTTTTTCTTATTACTTTTATTTTTATTTTGTTTATCATAAGAATTACGCGTAGCTAAGTTTTTAATCTAAGATTTTGTCGGAACCCTATGTGGGGATGGTGAACCCGTTTTCTTGAGATTATGCAATTATGATTTTATTATTATTTCTTATACTTGTTATGATTGTTAGTGCATGAACTTGATCAATTTATGTGCTTTATCTGTGATTATTGGGATTGACTCGACAGAGCTATTTTGATGATTTTACACATTATTTCTGGACTTTTCCACTTCGAAATAAATCTGATGTCTTTGCATCTTTTGTTAACTTTCATACATTCATACAAACTCAGTTCCAACATCTCCTCAAAGCCTTACAAAGTCATAATGGCCGTGAATTTAAAAACACGGAATTTCAATCCTACTTTACCAAACACGTGATCCTAAATCGTTTTTCTTGTCCTCAGACCTCTCCTCAAAACGGACATGCATAACGGATGATCCACACTATCACCAACATGATTCAATACCTCGTTTTCAAGCTCATCGTCCTCCTACTTATTGGGTTGAAGTAGGGGTGAGTTCGGGACGGGATTTCGGGAATTCGGGATTTTCGGGATTGGGATTTCGGGATTCGGGATAGAAATTTTGAATCCCAATCTCGTCCCATATTATTAAATCCCGGTATATCGATATCCCGAAATATTTCGGGAATTCGGGATTGGGATCGGGAAATCCCATATTTTTGCCTACAAAGTAAGAAATATTGCATTTTTTTCTATTAGTATTATTTTATACACTAAACCAACTTGAATATTATATAATGTATATATATATATGTGTGTGTGTGTGTGTGTGTGTGTGTGTGTGTGTGTGTGTGTGTGTGTGTGTGTGTGTGTGTGTGTGTGTGTGTGTGTGTGTGTGTGTGTGTGTGTGTGTGTGTGTTTTTTATTAATTTGTTTTTCTTTTTTTTCCTAATTCGGGATTAAAATATCCCGATCGGGATTGAATCAACTCCCGAATCCTGATCTCGTATTTGTTTCTAATCCCGGTCTCGAATCTCATAATCCCGAATTCCCGAAGTTTTAGTCCCAAATAGTAAAATTCCGTTCGGGACGGGACGGGATCCCGAATCCCGATCCCAAATGCCCAACCCTAGGTTGAAGCCCTTCATATGGCCACCCACCTACTCAATATCTTACCCACCAAAACCACACAAAATCGGATCCCTCACGAACCTCTTTACCTAAAAAAACCTACATGCTCACACCTTCGACTGTTCGATTGTATCTGTTATCCCAACCTCACCGCCACTATACCACATAAACTAGCCCCGCTCTACTCCTTGTCTCTATCTTGGTCACCCTTCCTCCCATAAAGGCTATCGTTTCCTTAATCGATCCACCGGCTGAATCATTATCTCTCGTTGTATCACCTTCGATGAAACTCGTTTCCCTTTTGCTGAGTCCACTCCCCCCACAAACCAACTCAGTAAATCTGACATGGGAGAAAACACACAACCACTACTTCTTCTTTCTCAGCTCCAATCTGCCCCGAATATATTTTCGTCAAGTTGTCCCAACAGTTCATCCAACTGCTCCACCAAGTCACCGCACTGTTCCAACAGTTCATTGAACATTTCTGCGCCCGATGCACCATCTGATACGATCTTGTCAAGCTCCAAGACGAAGAGTTGAAAGCGCATGAGTGTAAATACAACAATTGAGTTTTCCTTGGAGAATAAAGGCTCGAATAAGACCACTAAAGAGTTCATGGTTTGGAATTTGAAGAAAAGGAAAAGGGAAATTCATTGGCCAAGTTAAATTTCATTCATCCCGAAAGTACCCTATGATTATGGCAGAGTTTATCATTCAGCTTATAACTCTCTCATATGATCTCCAAATAAAGTGATTCAAATCACTGAGGAAAGCCAACTGAATGTTCAACAACTTTCATGGTTTGAGCGGAGAGAGATTCAAAGCTGAACAGTGTCTTAATCGAGCTTGAAGTGCATGCATGTGCACAACCCAATGTCTACGCGAGTTAAGAAGGGTGATCGGGAAGTCGACTTGATGATAAAGTTATTTAATTTAATTATGCACGTTTTTATTTTAGCATTTATTATGTTTTCATTATTTTAGAGTTCTTTATGGTTAGGATTTGCTTATTTATTAGTTTCCTCATTATAGTTTAGGTAGGAGTTATTTTCCTTGTGACAAAAAAAAATCTTTTAGCACTTATAAATAGGTTGCCAATTTTGCTTATTTTGATGGACGAATGTTGGTTAATAAATTGAGATTACTCTCTTTAGTTCTTTAAAAACTTTTCGAACACATCGAAGGATTCTGTATGTTCACCCCGACTTATCAATCAAGCTTTCACAATTGACTGTGGCGTTTTCACATACCAAGATTCTTGTCTTTTTATAGACAAGGGGTCGCAGTTCCATCCCTTTGATTCCTTGTTTCTTGGATGTTTTGATCTTACTTTCGCGTAAGGTATTTGGGTCTCGTAACAAGTTCTACGGGATTCGTATCACCACCACTAGCCCACAACCTCTTCTCCTACTGCCACACCTCCCCCTGCTCATCCTATGGTGACTCGCAGTAAGGGAGGCATCCACAAACCCAAAGTTCATTTCTCTCTCGTTGTGTCTACTTCCTCCCCAATTCCCACCACCTATCGCCAAGTCGTTCTTGACCAATGATTGAGGAATATACTGCTTTAATTCAAAGCAATACTTGGGATGTTACGTCCAGCCCCCTTCACTGATGTTATTTATGGGAAATGGATATACAAACAAAAACTCAAGTCTTATGGTTGCTTTGAGCGATGCAAAGCACAGTGTGTTGTTCGCGGGTTCAACCAACAGGCTGGTGTAGACTTTGACGAGACTTTTAGCCCAGTTGTCAAACTAGCCAATCTTCGAATAATTTTAAGTATTGTTCTCTCAAGATCATGGCCGATTCACCAACTCATGTGAAAAATGTCTTTTAACATGGCACGCTTTTTGAAACTGTCTATAGTGAGCAACCTCCCCGGTTCGTCAATCCATCTCGCCCTACTCACGTATGCCGTCTCAACAAGGCTCTATACGGTCTCAAGCGAGCACCCCGAGCCTGGTATAAGCGTTTTGCCGCTTACATCACCACCATGGGTTTCACATAATGCAAATTTGACACCTCGCTCTTTTTGTACCGTGGCAACAGTTCCCTCACCTTCCTCGTATGCCGATGACATTGTGCTTACGGCCTCCATACCCGCACTCCTAGACTCTATCATTGCGAAACTCAATCAGGAGTTCGCAATGAAGGATCCTGGCGACCCTCACTATTTTCTCGGCATATTAATCACTCGTTCGTCAAATGAGCTATTTCTCTCTCAACGCAAGTACGTCGATGAGATACTAGAACAGGCCCACATGGCCTCTTGCAACCCTTGCCTCACACCGACCGATACCAAGAGAAAGTTGTCTTCGACCATTGGAACCCCGGTTGCTGACCCTACCCTCTATCGCAGTCTTGTCGGTGCACTGAAATACCTCACTTTCACTCGTCCCGATATCTGCTATGTTGTGGAACAAATTTGTTTATTCATGCATGATTCGAGGGAACCACATTTGGCTGCTCTCAAGCGTATCGTTCGCTACATTCATGGCACTCTCGACCACGGTCTTCACTTCTGTCCCAATTCGGACTTATCTCTTGTCGCTTACTCCGACGCTGATTGGGGTGGATGTCCCGACACTCGACGTTCGACATCGCACTATTGCATTTTCCTCGGCAACAACCTCATCTCTTGGTCTTCCAAACAGCAGGTCACTACTTCTCGATCTAGTGCAAAGGTTGAAGATCAAGTTGTCGCAAATGCCATCGCCGAAACAACATGGACGCAATCTCTATCTACCCAGCAATCCTATTCAACACTCCGCACGAAACATGTGGAAATTGATATCCACTTTGTTGCTTTGGGACACGTTCGAGTCCTCCATGTCCCATCCGCCTACTAGTTTGCTGATATCTTCACGAAAGGACTCTCGACCCCACTCTTTCGAGAGTTTGTCTCCAGTCTTCACGTCCTCTACATTCCCGTTTCGACTGCGGGGGTGTATTAGCATATATTGTTATTATTATTTATTATATTATTCTTGTAGATATATCTTGTAATCATGGCATGTATATATCTTAGTTACCTTGTGTAATAGGTTAGGGTTTCGTACATGTAACTATATATATCAATAATATATGTGAGAGACACAATTCTCTCTTTCTCCAATTCCATTCTTCCTATAAGCTGTTTGAAATAAGCATAGCCAAATGGACCCTTAGTTTGAAGGAAATAAATATAATTTGTAAATAGTAAAAAATAAGGATGTTTTTGTAAATTAGACATACTTCGTAGTTTCCTTGTAAAGTATATATTTTAATTCTTCAAGGGTTAATTTGTATATTTCATAATTTATGTCACTATTTGTGACCGGTGACGACCGTTTATTTGAATTGAGAGTAAAATTGAAACTTCATAAATAAGATGGCAATTTTTGAAATTTAGACATTGGTCAGAGATTATATGTAACTTGTCCTTGAAAAAATTGTATCAGATTACATGAAATGAAAGAGATTTCCCATAAATGAACCGATTATTTAAATCTACCGCCATTTCATGAAATATAAAATATAATCCACGTGACAGAACCAAGAAACCTGATTAAAGAGATCTGGTCAACTCCCATTGCCATGGATTCTTCAACCTTCCAAATCTGCAATGGCAATCCTCACCAGTATATAAAAATATAATCCACCACAGTTTGCCCCTTGTAAGAACTCCGCCTCAGCAATGGAAGAAACCATGAGAAGACATTCATTCTCAGCCACAACCGACGCCCCTGCTCCGCCGCCTTTCAATCCTTCGACACCGGCAGTTCCGATATCTTACCCTTTGAAGACGCTGGACGAATTGGAGTCGCGGGCCTACTTCAAATCCTTTCATTTTCCGTTCAATCAGTCCTCCGTGAAGCTTCCGGCGCCAGCTGGCGGCGCTGATGGTTCTTTGCCGCAGCGCCCCCGGATTCTGGTGTGCCATGACATGGCGGGTGGGTATACCGACGATAAATATGTACAGGGCGGAACAAATGCTGATGCTTACGCGATCTGGCATTGGTATTTGATTGATGTATTTGTTTATTTTTCCCATAATTTGGTCGCTTTACCGCCTCCTTGCTGGACTAATACCGCTCACAAACACGGTGTTAAGGTATGGTTATGAGATTTTCGTGCTCTACGATTGATGATTGATTGTTCACAAAACTGATTGCGTGCTCGCTCACAAATATTTATATACATGTGTATATATATATAAGGTATTAGGAACTTTCATAATGGAGGGGGAAGACGGGGATAAACAAGCTACGAAACTGTTAGCAACAAAAACTTCAGCACAAATGTATGCCGAGCGATTGACTGAGCTTGCCGTTGCCATGGGATTTGATGGTTGGCTGGTAATATTTCTATGCTCCTTGTTTCACAATTAATTGAGCTTGTCCCGAGTTTTCGTGTTTACTTACATGCTTATGGAGTTTCATACTATACATAAATAATATTGGCATGTTTTTGTTTACGTACTGACAGATTAATATGGAGGTAGATTTGGTTCGTGCACAAGTTCCGGTTCTCGAAGAATTCGTGAGCCACTTGAGCCAGACTATGCACTCTTCGTTACCTGGTTCATTGGTTATATGGTAGATTCTGTGACTCAAGAAACTACATACAGATTAACTTTGATTTAGTTTTGGTTTTCGGTTATAACTAACTAACTGAATCTTTTTTTTTTTGTGATAATTCAGGTACGATAGTGTTACGGTTGATGGGTTTCTTGACTGGCAGAATAAATTAAATGATAAAAACAAAGCTTTCTTCGACAGATGTGACGGCATATTTCTGAATTATTCTTGGGAGGTGATTAATTATTTCTTCGTATTTTGTGATAGTATATATTTGGATTATCTCTCCCTTGAGATTTTTCTTGTGTGTTGATATATATAGGAAGAATATGCTAAGCAATCGGCTGATGTTGCCGGTGATAGAAAATTTGATGTGTATATGGGCATTGATGTTTTTGGAAGAAGCACGTTCGGTGGCGGACAGTGGACCGTAAGTTTCAATACCTTAATGCTGCCTTGCCTCTCAGACGAAATTCACAATTTTATTTATTTTTGTTGTAATATTTGCAGACAAATGTTGCCCTTGATGTGATAAAGAAGAATAACATTTCAGCAGCCATATTTGCTCCGGGATGGGTCTATGAAACTAAGCAGCCCCCCGACTTTCAGACTGCTCAAAATCGGTAATTTTTTTTTATTTTTTTTTCACTCCAATTTTGTCCATTTCTTCTTATGTTTTCTGTGCATGCGTGCATGCATTATTATGAATTTAAACAGATGGTGGGGGCTTGTCGAGAAATCATGGGGAACTGTACCCAAGTATCCGAAACTACTTCCATTCTACTCTAATTTTGATCAGGTATTTTATCTGCTGATTATTAGCTTTGTAATTGAAGTATATTTTGATACCGTTTGTTCATAGATGCCCGTAATTATATTAATGATGCAAGTGTAACACTACGATTTTGTTAGGGACGTGGTTACCATATATGTATTGATGGAGAGCAAGTCTTTAGCACTCCTTGGAACAACATTTCTTCCCAAGGCTTTCAAGTATGTCTCTCTGCTTCATGTGCTAATTTTATGAATCTTAATCACTTTTTCTCGGATGCACAACTAATTTATACCATTGATCAACGGAAAATGCATCTATCTCGTCTTTATTCCGTATACGTTATATCATTGTTTTCATTTTTCGTTTTTTTTTTTTTTTTTTTTGTTACAGCCTCTTATTGAGTATCCCGGAGACTCTCCCACTCAACCAATCCAAGTTTCCGTTAAGTAAGTCGGTTTACTCATTCCTATATATAAGCGATAGTTATACTACTTTTGAGTCGAGATTTAGGGATTTTATTTGATTGTGATCTAGTGAATATACATGGAAGAAACATGACACACATTTAACAATTATATACAGTTTGAAGGAAGCGTCTTATAGTGGTGGAGGAAACATCGTTTTTCGAGGAACTCTTGCTCTTAAGGCTGAATTCACAGCAAGACTCTTTCAGGGGGAGCTCCTTTTGGGCAACTCACCACTTCACATTACATATTCTGCAAGTCTTTTTCTACATTTTTTATTTCCTCTAAATTAACGAGAAAAACTCGAATAATAATTTGATCGATCACTCTTTTAATTCGAAACAGAAACCATTTAATAAATATGACACCTTTCTAACACTGTCTGTCTGCAGGTTAAATCTAGTGAAAACTCTATGCTAGGTCTTGCTCTGAAAACCTCGTCCGCCAACAACGAGAAAACCTCGGTTTTTTTAGCCGCCTCGGAAAATACCTCGCTCACAATAATGAACCAATTCAGCAAAGTGATAATGCCACATAAAGTAACCAATTTGGGAGCAGATCAACCTGGATGGGTCATGCAAGAAACCAGCATTCAAATGAAAGGACAAGTATTAGAAGAGATTCGAGCCGTATGCTACAAATCAAACCCCGAAAAATCATCCTCGTCCGAATATTATGCAATACTAGGTGATATCAAGATTACTAGCAGCGGACAAACTCCGACATTTCCACCGTCTTCTTCATGGATTGTCGATGGTCAATTCGTAAATTGGACCTCGGATCCTAAAGGATCGAAACACCTTAGTGTTAAGATAACATGGAAACTGAAAGACGGCAATAATGCTGCCGATATTTTCACCAAGTACACTATCTACGTCGAAAAGCTAACAAAGGAATATGAATATATTGGTGTCGCTGCAGTACAATCGTATTATATATCTGACCTAGAAGTGACAGCTGGCACATCTAGTCTCAAGTTCATCGTTCAAGCCTGTGGTCTTGATGGAGCTTGTCAAAAGCTCGAAGATTCTCCTTTCTTCTTATTGCAAGTTCAAGGTTTATTATATATATCTCGCTCATTTTTTTTTTCGATTCAAATATTTAATTTTTTCGTCTTCTTCGTGACAGTCTATTGTAATAAATTGTGTTATTGTTTGTGTAGGTAACAAATACGAGATGGAAAAGTGTAGTCGGTACAAATGTGGAAGGATACTCACCATAAAAACCATTGGATGTTCAGAAAGGCTTTTCTATTGCTGCTCTGTTCATGGTTTCTCATGTAATAGCGAAAATGGTGACGAAAAAGGGTACAATGGTCCTAAAATAATGCAAAAGGATGATTCTGTCGAAGTGCCAACATATAAAACACGAGTCGTCCTACGTGTGGTTTATATGTTACTCACTGTAAACCTATTCATTTTACTCGTGTACATGTCATCTCGCCTATTTTTGAAATATCAGAAATAAGGATATACTTTCGTTCAAAGGCTAATACCAAACCTCGACACATATTTTATTAGCTATAAGGACGGTCTCTTTTTTCGTTTTTCCCTTGACTAAAAGTCTTCATATTTTTCTGTTGGCTAAAAGTTTTTCTGCTTCTTCTTCGATAAGAATACACACATACATGAAGAACACACACAACGTCACACGCACACGAGTGATTTTAACTAGATAAATGTTCCGAAGAAGAGAGAGAAAACAAATGCTTGTATTAATCATGTAATCTTTATACAAATGAAATGAAGACATAAAAGTATTATATCATAAGATGAATATATATTATATAGTAGAGAATGACCTAAAAGGGTGAGTGTTTCCAAAATTCATGAATGAAAAAAAGAATCTAGTACTATTTTTTGTCTTCATTTACCTCAATTTGTACATGAACACCTCTCTCTATCTACCTCCTTGTTCTATTCTCCATCTCACTCTTTACATTGTCAAGCTTCACTGGCAAAGTTAGTTAGCCTGCTTTCGACGAGAAATTTAACCGTCTTTTAACTAATGCCTCACCCGACAACAAAATCATCTTTTTTCTTCAGCCACAATTTTTTCTACGTTTTTATCCCATTCGGTCAGATGCCCCAGAATGAGGAAAAAGTCAACCACGGGTTACTTTCTTCATTTATGTTCCAAGATAATTTATTTCTTGTAGCAAAAACTATAGCCTTTTTTACACCTTCGACAAATGTGCCTCGGAGATTGAACAATTTAGGTCTTCTCGAGATTGCGATCTCCGACTCTGTAGACGCATTTGGCTTCTATTTGGAGTCCAAAACGCACCAAGGCTATTATTGTCAAATTGCATCTGCCCTAAACTGCCCGAAGAATAACTATGTGCCACACTGCTAGACGAAGAATACAATGACGAAGAATCTGTGAACTGAACGCCTGCACCACTGAAACCAAGTCCAGCATCAAACGGTCTTTGCTGAGTGCTCGCAACTGTCGGACTCAACGGCATCTTAACTCTGCCATCCCCTAAAAAAACATTCACACAATAAAAAATAAAATAAATTAAATTCTCGACACAATGTACTTTTCAAAAACGGAAAAACAAAACGAACGCAACAATTACCTATATTGATAGGACTCCATCTCTGAAAACGGAAAGGAGCTGGAATATTATTCAGCACCGACGAAGACGTTACACTGTTATGTCTGAAAAGCGGCAAATACGACCTTCGAAGAAACTTCGGCACCCACCAATAATTGCCGACAAACGAGCAGGCGCAGAGAAGTAGAAACAAAGAAGCAAACAAAATTGCAAAAAGAATAAACGGATTTATTCTAACCCTCAATATCTGATACCCGTACGATTTCCCCCCATTTGGAAACGCTTTTCCGGCTTCGAACAAAGCAACGCCAAGTGTCCAGGTAATGCTCCCAGACCCAATAATCACGTGACGATCAGTAATATGCAATCCTTCTCTCAACAGCAGAACAACATACGGTGCTCTAAAACAGTACTGCTCGATAAAAGGCTGAGGACCAACACTTTTTCTCGCAACGTCCCAATTCTTGTCACAAAACTGACGGCCCTTTTCCAATACATCGTCAAGAGCAGAATCAGAGGTCAAGTTGAAAAAACGGTACACAACGTAAAATCCGGACATAGCATAAAACTGGCCAACTGGTCGAGGCAGATTATCCGCAAGTGCACACGGCTGCACCTCACAGTTAATTCCTGGACTACGATCTGCTGACCATTCGGATAAATTAACGGCCACTTTGGCGAGTGCGCTACACTCCTCCCATTTCGGACTCCCGATAAGCTGAATAGGAACTCCACTCTTTCCTCCTTTACCTAATCGTTTAACTTCAATAGGAGGGCTTCCGTCTTTTTGTCGGATGGATGCGCACTGCGAGCACAAGTACTGCTCTTTGTAACCCGACTGCAAACAAGGGTGCTTGATTTTGACTTTCCCTCTGACCAAATCGGCGTTCGTAATCCTCTGAGGAAGCTTCTTGAGAAGATGCGCAACGGATTTGTCGAACGCGTCGTTCAGTCCGTATCCAGCTAAGGAATAGGCATTTAGATGATGGTTAACAGGGCCTATGCTCAGCTTTAAGCTCGTTTCCTCGTGTTTAACCGGCTTGCCTTCGAAAGTAACCTGCAGCGACGAACCACCCAAGTCAAGCGCACCGTATGTTTCCTTTTTTGGAATTGACCCTAATACCCCCGTGTGATAATTTAGAGCAATCCATCCGTAATAAGCTTCCTCCATACCTGTGATAGTTTTTACCCACTCCCTTTTGCATAGAAAAGACGAAGTCTTTAGAATTGACCATGCGTTATTGAGAAGCCAATCGGATTCCGAACTTGGTAGCCTGCGGACTCCAGCTGTAGCGTATAGAAAGAGAGAAGTGGTCTTATGCGATTTTTTAGGAATTTGCTTCTCTGCCCATTTAATAAGAGGTTTTATTGCTTTTTTCAAGCCGGATATATCATGCACCAATTTGTCGAATCCAGGCTCGGTCTCCATTCTGTTGTACGCCCGACCCCTTTGGGAACCAGATTTCCTATGGAAACTTTCGGGTAATGACTTTAACGAAATAGGAAGATTGTCATCTTTATTGTGGTTGGCCGATGCCTGATATACATAAACGCGGGTCCCGGTGCTACCGCAGTCGATCACGACATAGAACTTAGACGGTCCTTTAGACCAGTTTGAGTAGAGAAAGAGTAGGCCAAAACAAAAACAAGAAAATAACAATAAGCAGAGGAGAACGGATATAACTCGCACCCACTTCTTCCTCTTCGATAAAATGGGCGATACGGATACCCTCTCCTTGGAAAAACTCGATCCGCCGTTTTCTTGATGTAGCAACTGTGGTGATAATGCAGTACTTGAAGGATCGTTTTCCGGATCGAGTTTATTATAAACAGACAAATCTTGAAGGGATGAGGAGAGTCTTAAATTAGTGTTCTTATCGGGGCTGGAATACGTGTAACCATTATTGACAGAACCAGGGAGAGGAGGCAATCCAGGTGATTTATATGATGTATTAGAAGCCTTTGGGGCGGAAAACCGAGTTGCTGCTGAAGAAACAAACTCTGCAAATTTACTGAAAACCATGTTGGAAATATCACTTCAAATAATATTTCGTCTATGAAACTGCGACCCCTTTTTGTGACAAGTTATAATCAATATTGCGGAGAGGGTAAGCTCTAGAGTCATTGCAGGCAAAGTATTAGTTGAATGAATAAAACGAGCCCTGCAGAATCAATATGAAAAGAAAAGAAAAGAAACATTACTTGATGGAGGGTAAACATAAAAATTAAAAATATACATAACATGTATTCTTTCCATATGATTCAAATACCTGAATTGTGATATAGAGAGCAGATATAAAACAAATAACACATAGCTTATTATAAAAGAAAGAACCGAGACTTGTAAAAGAGTTTGAAACTTAAGTAGTTTTAGAAGTACAGGAAGAACTCATAAACACCCTTCGATAACTGTATATAAGAGGAGATCCCATATTAGCTACTTTCATAAGTATCTCATTATATTTACACTAAAACGTACATAATTCCTCGACTATAGCAAAAATTTACCCTTTTCAAAGACAACAAACAAGCAGGACTAATCAATCCCACTAAGCAAATAAGATGACAGTAAGTAATTTGGTTTTCCGTATGATATATCTCTCCCCATATATAGAGGAAAAAGAATACGAAGATTCACTAATTAGGAGTTTGGCAAGTCGATGGATTCCATTGAAAAGAGAATTCTTCCCTGCATTCTCATGTTTCCAAAACAAGCTACTCGACATATAAATATACTTTATTAGTGCATTTCAAATAAAGGAAATAGAATTTACCAAGGGCAAAGCTTAGACCTTGTTCAAGAAATGGTTTAGCGTTCCGTTTCTTATGGTGTCTGGAAACTTCTTCTAAACTATCAATCATCGATTTTCATGTATATCTTTAATCAAATCTAAAAGCCTAATTAAATGCTATGACCAGACAGAGTAACGTTTCTCCAACCTTAGCCTTTCTTGCCCTCCTTTCCCCGGCTTACGAAAAATGCTGAAAAAAATTCAAACTCCAAATTGAACTAATGTGGCACAACAACAGCAAAACCGTATCCATACTAATTCGTGTTTGGTTACACGGATATTCTTCTTCCAACCCACTATACTAAAATTGCACAAACAAGCATACTCGAATCCTTTTCTCTGTTTCCCCGGTTTCTTGCTCACCCAGACCTCAGTAAATAATAGTCTATTGATTCTAAACAGTAAATAAAAAAAAAAAATTGCAAACAGATACTGAGTTTCACTTAAAACAAAAATTCACACACTAAATCAACGATTGGCAATCAATTCCACACACGAAATTCAATTTGATATTAGTATTGGCAAACAATTTAATACACATCCAAGATCGCATGAACACCAAAATGAGACAGCAGATAAGAGAGAGAGAGAGAGACAACTCAAAATCACAGATCTTTGAGAGCTGTAAACAAGAAGGAAAATACAGAGCGCATAAAAAAATCAGAAATAGCAAATACAATTTATTATTTCTGGGCAGATAAATAATTTAACTAACCATCAGATCATGAAGGGGCGGGTGAAACGCAGAATTAACGAGTGCAGCAGATCCAAATTCGAAAATGGGGGTTTTGATTTTAAACCGAAACAAACAACCTCAAACCCAACTGACTCGTTGTGTCCAATTTTACACCTCTTTCTCTCTCTCCTCTCTCTCTCTCTCTCTCTTCTCTCTCTCTCTCCGGAAGAGGGGTTTGAAGTTTTCACACCCAATGCACAAGTTTAAACCTTGTCTGTTTTTACTTTTTCCAAGGGCCACTTTTTGTTTTCTCTAAACTAGGGCTGTGCATGGATCGGTTTTAACCACCAACCAACCCATTTTCGACCCACAATTTGTGATGGTTAATCAACCATCAACCGACCCATTTAAGTTGGGTCGATAATGTCAACCAACCCATGTATAGTTGGGTCGATAATGGTTTCTAATATGCTAAAAAGTTGGTTAGTCGGTTAATATCGGCCAACCAACTTTATTCATTAATTTAATATTTATTAATTTTAATTAAAATATTTAATATTTTTAATTTCAAATTTCTATTTTATATCACATTTATTAAAATGTTTAATATTGACCAAAATCCTAAAAGTAATAAATCTAACCTAATTATCTAATTTGAACTATTTTAATTTTAAGACATATAGTCTAAATATTTGGATGATTATTATTTGTTGAACTATTTATGATTAATTGCAATGTGTATGCCTGTAATGTTTTGAATTTTTTATTTGAATATTATTGAACTAGTCGCATTTAATTTATAAAAGATATAGCGTTGTAACAAGTAATAAAATATTAAAAAAAAATATTTAGATGGATGACCCATCAACCAAACCATCAACCAACCCATTAAATTGATTTTCAACCATTACCCAACCCATGTAAATTGGGTCGATAACGGTTTCCAATATTTGACAAAGTTGGTTGGATGGATTGGGTTGGTTTTATTGCTGGTTTTTAACCAAACCAACCAACGCACATCCCTACTCTAAACTACTTAATTACTTATTACTCGTTTTTGTGTTTTCAATTTCTCTCTCAATTTTTCCCATCAAAAAAACAAAAACTAATTATACCCTAATTTCACGTCATTATTATCTTATATATCTTATCTTATCTTATATATAATAGAAAGAAACGCTGACCAATCCTAAAAAACTATATTTCTGTAATTATTTATTTTAAATATTTTTTCTCTACTAATTTCTAACTACAAATTTTAACAATATAATTAGCAAAATTGAAACTAAACCGTAAAGAATCCTACCCTAATGGTGCTTCAGTAGTTATTTATTTTTAATTTTTTTCTCTAATTTGGATTATAAATCTTAATCTACAATAATATTGTCTCGTTATTCTGTCTAATTTAAACGAGTATTTTCTATTTATCCGTTCCAATAACAATACTATATCATAGTAAACAATAATAAATGTGAATTGACAAGAATTAAGATTATGTAATGCTTGTTAATGGTCCTTATTTATTATTTTTGGTAGTGAAATAGTATTTTAAATGTTGTCTATTGGTATGATTTTTTGTTCTTTGTGAATAATATGTTCAACCAACGATTAATTTTTATTTAACTTTTTAACAATTGGTCAACATCTTTTCAAATAACTTGTGTATCCAAGAACTAAATTAATCATATTTCAATTGGAAAATTCATCCTGTCCTGTTTAAATTAAATGTTTGCTTCTGCATGGGTAAACATTTAATTTGTAAAATTTTTTTATCAAAATTAATTTTGTAAAAGTTGTAAAGATATAGAAGTCAAATATAAACTAAACCAAATTTAACATGTTTTTTAGTAATGACATAACTTGCAATCACTCGAAATGAAGTTTACACACACACAAATAACATTTGATTATCTAATAAATATTCTGTGTGAAGTTTATTTATAAAATAATATATATATTGGGCGTATAAATATTTTAAAAGTTGGCTATGGTTGCGTTGGTCAGAGCAAATTCAGTGGAATTTTCTTACTTAGCAAACGTCGACGTATGTAGTTGTGGATAAGGATTAAAATTACGTGTATTATTTTTCTATTTCTTTGCTTTTATTTTTTGAACAAAATTGCGTACGTGTACTCTCACTTGTTCTTCGGACAAAACAGTGGTTCATTCTTGTTTGAATTAGAAGTCGGTGCACCTGCACCCATAACTTTTGCTTACAATTTGGAAATTAGGGATAACCTCTCACCATTTTATTTATAGTTTGCAAATCACCCCTTAGCCTTTTTTTTTTGGCATTATTACCCAGGATGGGAGGAATTGTACTCCCGTGTACAACGTTTTATTTAATTGAAATATCCATTCTTGTCAAGTTTAAATTGGTTTGACAATTTATTACATCTTCAATTCCAGCATCTAACCCAGGTGAATTATCGAAAATATCCTTCAATAATACCATAATTACGAAATTAACAGATATAAATACTTCAGATCTTCATTTTCACCTTTCAAAGATCAAGTCCTAGTTTTTTACAGGTAAGAATTCAAAAAGTTCATGCTCTTTTCATCTTCCAATATTCACATAGGTAAGAATTCAAAAAGTTCATGCTCTTTCCATCTTCCAATATTCACATTGTTTGGTACTTAATCCCGTCAATTTCACCATAAAACCCTCTACATTTCTAGTATTTTTCTGTAACGGGAGGTCTCTGAATTATGAAACTAAGTCGGAGGAGGAGACGAAATCGATCCAACTGGATTTTTTTTGGGTTTTTTTCTGCGACGATTTTTTCTAATTGGCATTTTATCGTTGTTGTTGTTTTGTTGTTGGATGGTAGATCGGATGAATTTTTGGTGTTTATGGAGTTCGAGAATGTTTTATTTGAAGTGGAATTGAGTTTCTTGAGTGGGGTTTTAATAATGGTGGTTGAGTCTGATGAACTTGTCTTTGTCTTGTTTTTGGATGATGAATCAGATGGAACCTTAATCAGCTTAGTCTGGTTCTTGAGTTCGCCATTAATAGTGGTTTTGATTAGTTTTGTTTGGTTTTTTATGAAGTTGCAATGGGCTTAATAAGTTTGATTTTGTTATTGGTTGAAGAAACTTCTTTTGTCACTGAAGAAGAAAAAGAAGTGGGTTTTTTCTTGATTGTGATTGGGTGAGTTAACCCATTAAATAGAGCTAACTTTATTATTTAGTTAATATTTGTTGATTTTACCAACTAAACAGGGTCTAAAAGTTTTATATATTACGATCTATTTTAATAAAATATTATTAATTTCAGTCATAATGAGAATTTACATAGTTATTAATTGAATGGTCTAATATAATATTTGTAAATAAAATGGTGTGTTGACTTTAAACAACTCACGAAAGACCATTTTTTTAAGTTGTTATACCACAGACCGAGAACAGATTGAATTGTTGAAGTTATATTGTTCGCGATTAAACTAGAATTTCCACATAAATAAATAGCATAATATTCAACAAAATTGAGTTTGGTCGTGTATCGTTTTGGAGTGAACTAATGCAAACCTTTATGTTGCTGAACATATTTGTTCATTGGGTACTAATTATAATACTAGATCTAGTGATAAGATTTTTAAATGAAAAATATTAGAGAAGCATGTATCCAAAGATATAAGTCGTCACGTTACAACTTTTTTTCTTTCATGAAAATTTAACGCTTATTATGGTTATCTAAGTACTACCACATAAACGGTCACAAAAGCCCGTCTAGCTCAGTTGGTAGAGCGCAAGGCTCTTAACCTTGTGGTCGTGGGTTCGAGCCCCACGGTGGGCGAATATTTTTTTTCATGTCTGTATGTATTCCTAAATATAGCCCAACAGTGGCCTAATATGTTTTGCATGGATTCCATATTATAATTTTAAATTTGTAATTACATTCTTCCGATCAAGAATAAATATATAATACAAGAAAAAATTTAAATTTATAATTAAATTCTTTCGATCAAGAATAAAGATATGACACAAGAAAAATAATTGGCTTCAAATTTTATTATTTCCTCATATTTAAGCGAATCATGTCGCGGCGACATTACCCAATGGGCTTCATATTACCCTTTGTGTTTTTCTAGAAAAACCAACTCAAATTTTATGATTTCCTCCTATTTAAGCGAATCATGTCGCTATGTAACGTGTTTCATTGTCATAAATGCCGTTCGTGATTTCTTGTGCAACCGAGAATACACAAATATTATATATGATATTCCCGAGATTTGATATTGTCTTTTAGATATCAGGATAAACATACTCATATGGAGCATGATCACTATGAACCATTTGGGTCGAGAGCTCATCAGTTTTCCCTTGTCGTTTTCTAGGGACAATGCCCTCTGATCCAACGGGTTTACCCCATTTTTATCTTAGGGGACCATCAATAATTTTCACATGTTTTTTAGGAACATCGATCCTAGTTGGAACATTTACAACTGGAATATAAGATTTTATGATGTTGCTAGCATCATTAAATGTATCGGGATGTTTATTGACAATATTTTGTAAATGGATGATTCCATGGATCTTATTCAAAATAATAACTGGAATATAAGATTTAAAGTCATATACGTACCCTTAGGTGTTGCCCATTATACTGAGTATATGGGAGGATCACAGTCTTTGTTTGATCAACCCTCTCTTTGAGCTTTTGTAATATGATCTCATTCTAATTGTATATATTCATCTTTCAAATCACCAAAAAGACGATAGGGTTAAAAATCATAGCATATGCCTTACATTTCCTGTTTGCCTCCTTCATATCACACAATCCAAGATTTTCATAAGATCTAATCCTTAGAGGTGTAATTTGATAGCTACGCACATGGTAAATATTTACTCCCATTAACATCAGGGATCTGAAAGTTCTATTTTTTTTTTTATTTCACCCATAATATATTAAATAACATAAAAAGATATATAGAGAAAACCCAAACTTAATTTTACAAACATTTTTTTATATATTTTATAGGGGCAAAACCTCGTGCTGATAACGTCTAGTGGAGTATAAACTATAGTACCAACTATTTATATTAGGAATTAAGTGTCCGAAAATTGGGTCTCCTTGCATTGCGATTTTCGACCACGAGATATAAGAAAGTGGTGGAGTAATTTCCAAGTAATTTTTCCTTTTGTACACTCTGATTACTCTAATTCCTTGTGTTATATATAACATAAATTAGATTGAAAAGATAACAATACATTTTTTTTTCTTCTCTCTCTTGATCGTGTAAGACGTGAAGAAACGAAATATTTTTTTCTTCTTCTTCTTCTCTCAATTATAGTTTTAATATTTTTTTGA